GGGGTGACTTTTTCTAACATATTCAGCATACGCTGAGAATGCCAAGTTGAGAGGACCAGGAGACCACATTATAAGCTGTTCACAGTCTAGCAGTAAAACGACTGCAATAAGTATTAAAAACTGCTTATAACTTCTTGCCGCAAGTAACTATGAAATATTAACATATTAAAATGCAATATTTTATATTTATCTACCTAAAAGGAAATGATAAATTCTTTTTAAAATTGTATGTGAAATGAAGAATATATACAAAACACTACAAAACAGTCCCTATGAGGTTTCCTCATTTGGTTTACTTCCGAGGTGCAACAGACATGCTTAGAGTGAGAATTCCCAATATGCGTTACATATTTGATGCAGTATAAGATAGCATTCAATCTTCTCATACAGTACACAATACATGCAATACAATCTATCCTATTTTTACAGGTATCGGCAGCAGAAACACTGTCTACATACTATTGCTCATTAATTCCCAGACCACCCCCTAATCTACCCTAGGGAGCCAGGGAATAAGAGGCATATCAGATATACATCTAAATCTTTAATACATACCAAAACAGACTGTTACACCAACAACTTCAAAGATGACTGGTTACTTGATAGAGTTGTCATAAATAACACAGAATAGGACAAGCTGGTAGTCACACCCCCATGTCTCCTCAGCAGCCAATAATCAGTTTATGCATTTTTATTGCATATGAAAGCTTAGCCATGCTATATCCCATCTCTTTTTTTTGTTAATGGGTCTCATTACCATGCCACAATGTCTTTATGCTCACCGGAATAATACTTCTATATGGGACTTGCTATGTGAATATTCTATGGCAGAGGTCCCTAAATGGAGGACACTGGTCCAGACACGGGCCAAGGGGCGGTTCTGTCTGGACCTTGATTTCCGACCTGCACTGGGCTATGTCTGACAGTGGATACCCCGGCCTCCAAGATGAATAGACGATGACGCACAATCCTGTGCTTGATCCTTGGTACATAAGGGCAGTAGAGACCTCAAGGGTCTATCAGACCCCTGAGAAAGAGAACCTGTCACCTCCAGATGCTGTCACATAGCATCTTGTTGGCACCTTCATGATAGCAAAAGTTAAGTGGAAAACAAAATTTTAAAAAAGTGATAAAATAATTAAAATTGGAAAAAAAGATAAAAAAGTAAAAAAAAAAAACAACAACTTTTCTGCCCCCACCATCTTTTCTGAATGAATGAATATGTGCGCGCATGGCATGCACGTGTATTAAAAAAAAAAAAAAATAGTGCGATGTGACGGGGTTGGCCCATCAGCACTGTGCCTGGGAACACACACCAGCAGCTGTGTGTTGTTGTGCAGGTGCTGGTGTGAATGCAGCCTAAATGGCAGACCGTGGTACAGACACAGACTGAGTGACTTTCTGTCTGTACCGCAATACAGACCTCTGCTCAATGAAAAGGTTACTCACCGGACCTGCTTGAATTTGAATTCACTACCCTGTTCTGTTCTATGGTTGAATGCTCACACACTACTCCAAGCAAAATGGCTGCTACTAAATCTCTGTATAAAACAGAATCTCTCATCAGGGAAGTTTACAGCCTTGTTCTCCCAAATGACCCCTCTCAAGGGGACAAAGAGAGACTTGGAAGAGCCTGGGAAAGCCTGGCAGGCTTATTTTTTTCTTCAGTGGGGGTATGTATTCATCCTCCAGGAAAAAAAAAAAGGTTTGTTGAAACTGTGCCTCCAAATGTATTTTTAGAATGCAGACATTGTGATCAGATTCCCCAACCCAAGGTACAAAAATCCAGGAAGTAGATCTAGGAATTAGTGACTTTAATGATGTCACTGAAGGAAATCAACCCTAGTTGGGCAAATAAAAAAATATGACACACGAAAAGGCATTCGGCATTAAAAAGTACTGCGATGCATAACAAAAACATGTGTAAACAAGCTACAATGCAAGGTAAAAAGTACAGAAAAAAGTGAACGCGGATAGATGTGAACCTAGCATTATCCTTCTGTATGATTAAACCGCAACTGAAGCCAAAACTTTTTTTTCGTTCCGGATAGAGTGGAGAGGGATTAGAAAACCTGTCAGGTTTTTATCACGGTCTCCCTGTTATGGAGATTCATCCTCGCTATTTGTCCTGGTGACCGTTATCATTGACAGTGAAGGAAAATCCCACATTTTGGGTTGTCATCAGAACAGGAATAGGAGGAGAAATCTTCCAATGGGGACACTAGTTCTGGTGACTGTGAAGACCTCCTCTCACCTACTGTTGTGGCTGTCAGACAGGAAGTAAAGGAGAAACTCTCCAGGGGGGCATAAATGGCAAAAAAGCTGACAGAGGTTATAACCTTCCCTTACTCTATCCAAAACTAAGGAAAAAGTTTTGGCTTTAGTTCTACTTTAAAGGCTCCTGCTGTTTTATTTATTTGTGTTATCGATTGATCCTGATATAAAATGTATCACACTGGACTGTGTCATCTATTTGTAAATACAATTCATTTTAAAAAGAAAAGTCCAGTTGAATCTTGTAGCATGTTTTTTGGTTCATGAGTTCAGTAAATAGGATGACATATTTGTGCACCAGGAAAGACTTTTCTGTCATAGAGCATGATCAAACCCGAACGGACACCAATTTGTCAAGCATGGTTTACTAGTTTTAATTGAAAACCAAGTTCTTTGTCCCTCAGTGTTTCTAGGTCGGGTCTTGTCACTGGAATTCCACATCCAGCACTTGCTTCTGGTAGGATTATTCAATACATAAAATGATAAAGTATTGCATGATAAAATCCCCCTCTTGCTGCAGAGCAAAGTTTAAAGATCTGTTATGGATGGATTACATCTGGTGTAAATAAAACAATTTGTGAATTTTGTTAATCAATTGATGAATACTGAAGCATAAAATAAAAGGATTGTATTGAGCTTCGTTAATTACATGTGAATAGCCATGCACTTAACCTCATTACTTCCTGCACTCAGAATAGAACCGCAGGAATCTATTCCTAATGACTAACCTTTGTGGCATTTCCTACAATGCTATTCTCTATAGGTCACCTCGGAATTATATCAAACACATTGAAGTCTAAAGCAATTTTTCTGTTCAATTGCTGAGAAATGTATACATAGTGATTATACATTATTCATTTTCAGCATTAGTTACAAAAGGCTTGCTTCCCAGGAGCCCCTATTACTGATGAATAAGTATGCTATTGTGTCCTTACTTGTATTTTCTACATTATTAACTTTGATGTATTAAACAGACCATTATAGAGTGTATATAGAACCAGTCACATTATTCCCTGCCTTAGAGGAGCTAACAATTGAATGTCCTAACCAAAGCCATTGTATAGAACACAGAAATCCAGACACTCTAGGGACACTTTGTCAGAAGCCAATGTTTCTGCAAAATGTTAGAAGCAGTGGCATCATTCAATTTTACTGGTAAAAGCATGCATTTCTTTTTGCTTTAGGCACCCTTCTTTATAGCAGGGGTGGGCAACTACGACCCTCCAGCTGTTGTGGAAATACAAGTCCCATGAGGCATTGCAAGATTGACAGTAACAGGCATTACTCCCAGTGGCAGAGGTATGTTGGCATTTGTAGTTAAAGCACAGCTGGAGGGCCGGAGTAGCCCATCCCTGCTTTAAACACTGAGATAAACCCAATCTTTTTCACCATATGGCTGCCCATTCTTGAAGTTGTTGGAGGTGGATCACTACATTTTTCTCTAGTCACATTTATGTCTTATGACAGCTCTGCCACAAATAATGAGTACTATAAGCAACGCTCATTGTGGCGTAGTAGCAGTTGCGTAACCAGAGTTATGGGCGCCCGGGGCAGAAATTCTTTCCCCCCCTAGGGACTGGGGCCCTACACCTTCACCGACCCAAATGAGACTCCCAACACCTGATACTGACTTGCCAGGGACCTCAAAAGGATCCCAACATCCGACACTGAGCACCCCTCCCTCACCACCCCAAATGGACCCTGTCCCCAACATCCAATACTGACCATCTGGCCTGCTATACCCAGGACCTCGATCTCCGCCCGACTGACACAGTCACGGCCTTTCAACCCCCTGCAGTGAGTCAGAGACTGTGGGAGGAGCCTGAGTGAGGAGTGACAGGAATGTGAGACTTCTACCCCGCCCACACATTGAGAGAGTCCAACTGGACACTGTGCACAGCGCGGTAATACAGAACGAGAGAGCCCGCCGCATCCCGCCTCTACCCCGACTGCTTCACGCCCCTGTTCGCCGGGCCCCGCTTGTAGTAGTGTATGGCCAGCTTTAGTGCAGAGGGACACATCCAGGAGCCAGCATACTTTTTTTTAGGAGCCAGCACCGTAAACAACTAGAGAAAACCTCAAAGATAAGTCATCAGCTGTCATTTTTAAGAAGCATCGGTGACCCGGCTCCTGGCATTTTTTACAGCTCTGCTTTAGGGAAGAGGCTCAGTACACAAAAACTACACAATATGAACGGTTTTTACCTGCTAAAGTACTGCACTTGTATTTCTGTGCAGCTACTTGTGTGATCCAGACACTCCTATCAAACAACACAACTAAATCCTTGAGCTCCACTGCAACAGCAGCACAGCTTGGCCAAGAACACAGGTCAAAACTCAACAATGAAGGAGTAGCAGCACACAATATCATTGCTCTGTTCACTCTGATCTCTCCTACTGGCAGCAATTTGACTGTAAGTACATGTGCATTGCAGCCGATTCTGCTTTGTCTCCTTCTTGGAGTCTGAGTGCTGCTATAAGGGAGAATACAGAAGGTTGACAGAAATACAAATTGAAGGACTTACTCTAGCTGAATGCACAATCCATAGTTGCATGAATACATAGTTGCACTAACAGGTGCTTTTTATATTTGTTTAGAGATCAGCTTTAATTTAAAAAAAAACAACAACCTTTAGGAGTAATTATAGTAAATAATCTATGCCTATATATCTATGCTCCGAGCACTTTATTAGTCACCACTGTTCTTGTATTACATTTGTTCTAAGAGAAACCTATTATTTAGTGTTGACACCCAGGTATTTACCACAACTTCGCTGTATACAAGTGCCATAGTTATCAGAGGTAGTATATAATTTACACAAGTATAAAGTACAAGTATATGGAGCTCAGATACTGTTGCTGTCTAGTAGCTGTTTTGTAAACACAATTGGCTGTGTTCTAAGAGGAGCTTTCTTTTTTTACTTGCAGAGAGAGACAAAGACAATACATGTCAATGCCTACACTCACTGTAATTAATGGTAATGTGATGCACATTGTGCAAAATATAAAAGATCTATTAATACAAAAACATGAAGACCATGAAATTAGACAGCGGAGTGTGTTAGAATCATCAATCAGTTCTATCATTACAAATGAATCTTAACTTGTCATTGAAACATTCAAACCTGCATTTACTCTTACATGCCTCACCCTACACACCTATTCCCAGCTCCTAAGTGTGCATAAGAGAATCAAAAACAAGAACATCCTTTCCAACAGGTATGGAGGAAGCTACAAAACACCTGGAAGGAATTTCCTGCCACCTCCCTGTCTGTTGTGACACCTCATCCCCCAATTTCTTGTCTGGGTTTCATAGGACGAGGAAGTGAAAGAAAATCTCTCTGTTGGGGTCACCTAACAGAGGTAACAGCCCTAGTTTGGCTGGAGTTGAACCTTAAGTTTCTTTCTTTGTATCTCATCTCTACAGGGCCGGTGCTAGGATTCGTGCCTACACAGGCAAGATGTATTTTTGTGCCCCCCTCCCCGACCCCCTGTAAAAACAGGGCATTTTGACAAGTACTTGTACTTGTCAAAATGCCCCGATGTTTGCGCTATGTTTTTTTTTTTCACTTACCTTCGGTGCGGGAGAGCAGCAGCGAGTCAGCGCTGGTCCAGTGGGAGGAGCTCCAAGTGGGGTCCCGCACCGAAGGTAAGTGAATCATTTTGACAAGTACAAGTACTTGTCAAAATGCCCTGTTTTTTTCCGCCCTCACCCTGCAGCGCCGTAAGGCGGCCGCCTGACTTGCCTTGCGGTAGCGCCGGGCCTGCATCTCTAAACTCATGGTCTATCAGGCTTATGTTACAGTGTTACCAACTGTACAGTCTGCCTCTTATTCCTGCTCCATCTGATTACTGCAGGAAGGATCCAGAGGTTAATAATGTTGGGATAACTGGCCTGGAACTCTTCTTCTGGTCCCAACTTTTAAAGTGATATTAATCTCAGGCGTTAACTTTTAACAATACATTCAAGTACCTTATCTATTAACAAAAATGTATCTTATTTGTGTATCACTCATCTATAGATCCTCAAATCATGTCAGAATTGGTGCTGACACTGTCCTTCCTTCTGGAGGGTGGCTACTTTTGTTCCCCATGGTCCCTGTGTGTTGTAAAGTAGCAACCACTCCAAGCTCACTCCTGTGATGGACTACAATCTCATGTTTAGTTAGGTAATTTGCATTGAGATTGTAGTCCATCACAGGAGAGAGCTTGGAGTAATTATTACTTTACAACAAATACATGGAGCATGGGAAACAAAAGTAGCCACCCACCAGAAGGACAGTGTCAGCCCAATTCAGAGATGATTTGAGGATCTCCAGCCGAGTGATACACAAAGAAGCTAGATTTTTGTTAATAGTTAAGGCACTTGAATGTATTTTTAAGATTTAACTCCTGAGTTTAGTGTCACATTAAAAATGAGAGTTGGGACCAGGAGAAGAGTTCAAGTTATGCCAACATTATTATGCTCTGGATATTACTGGCAATATTAAAACCATTAAACACCTTTAAGTGAACTTTTGTTTTGTACATGCGGGAAACCAAGCACCAGGTTCATGTTAATGGCAGCCCTATGAATTGTAACATTTACCTTTACTTTCCCCCCCCTGACACTTCCTTTGGTTGCCAGAAGTGAAGAGAGGAAACCTTGTGTTGGATCCAAGTTGGGACTTGTAGCTTACACAGGGATGAACCATGTTAAATATCCCACCACACACATGACCGATGTACCCCTTATTTGTGCTATAGTGCTGATGTGATTTGGCGGATGGTGCCACATATATCCGAGAAGTAAATATGTCACCAGCAATCCAAGGATCTTCATTCAACGTCAATAAAGGCATTATTGGATGAAGAGCCTTGGTGTGCTGGTGACATATTTACAACACATGGATGAAGATGCTCTCAGCCTCTGTGTGACAGTAGTGAGCGCCTGAGCAGCCAATCTCTAAGCGCCAGCGCTGCCACATTGGACAAAGGGAATTGAGTCACATGCTCCCTTATACCTGAAAGCACCTTATAAGTTATCTCCAAGTATAGGGGCATTTTTATTCCAATAATATGGCATTGTGTTGGGGTTTGGTATTTAAATGAGACTTGTGAATGTCTCTAGCCAATGTGGTCTCCATAGTCACTGCCCATTTCTGGCTTCGCAGGTAGGATCAGATGCTGTGCCCCTAATGCCTATGGGTATAATTAGTCACTAAACGGAATGCTAGTGGGTGGCTCTGTAAACAGCTGTACAGCAATCGGTATTAGTCAAGTCCTGCCATTTTAGTAAAGCACTGTAATATCTATTTTTCCTGACCTACAGGAAGCCTTTTCCACACAGATTATACATCTTCCATAAGGTAGTATTGAAAACATATCTAAAACAGTTTTTTTGAGGACAAGGTATATAGTAGTAATTGCTTATCTGTGGCTCCCATTTTTCTTGTTTCTTAGGTAGGGGTATTTCGCAGAGCCTGTGAAGATAGAGTAACTCACAAATATCAAAATCCCTGGTAAGTCCTACCTGACTAAAGACTAAAAAAATGATTGAAGTATTGATTGATTGAAGCCACCACAATTACCAGAGTGCTATGTATGCTCAGGAGCTACACTGTGCTTGTAACTAAATAAAAATACCAAAACTATTGTATTCAGCAGTTCTATTTCCAGGTTTTTTTTTCTTTTTCTCCAAAATACCTTTAAAAAAAGTATATCTAAAGGGTTATAACCCCTGTCAGTAGTTTTGTTTTTTAAAGATATATATAACCAGATTTCAATTTTTTTCTTGTCCCATGCACTCGACAGGAAGTGAGATGATATCTTTCCAATGTGAGGGATATCCCGTAGACAGTTGTCACAGAAACAAGTGTCCCTATTGGCTTATTTCCCCTCTAATCCTTTCCTAGTGGCACTCCAAAATGTTATATCTACCCTCTCTCTGTGACATTGGTGATTAGGACAATTTGTGAGAGTGAAACAAGGACACAGAAAGCAATAAAAACCTGACACTTGTTCTGACCTCTAACCACTTTATCCAAATATAAAAGAGTTTTGCCTTTAGTTACATTTTAACCATATATACAAGCAAGCATTAGCAAATTTGTTGGCACCCTTACAGCTCATTGAAACAATGCTTCATTCCACCGAAAAAGTGATTGTCTCATGTACCTGCATACAGTGTCTGATGACGAATTTCCCCACGAATCGCTATCGCTCAATTCTGCAAGTAATTCTAATTTACTATCGCTGTTTTCTAGCTGGTCTAAAACCGCTTTTGACCTAAAGGGATGCTTTTTGGATGCCATGGACGTTCTCAAGTTTCCAGGCAGAAAGAACAGTGAAAGAACAGTAAAAGTGCAGGCAGGGCACTTGACAAAGCTCTAGGGACAAAACTGAAGTGAAATGATTTGATACAGTAATGTAAATTATAGCAGATTACATTGTATTGTGTGTATTCTGTTTATATGGCATGTTTTCACTTTTGAATTTCCCGCCGGCTCCGCCCCCCGCTGTGACGCCGAAAATGATACTGAAAGTCGGATGCCGGCATCGGCCGGCCGCGTACAGCAGAGGACACCGCGGGCTCGCAGGGACAAGGTAAGTGACACTTTTGCACAATCCCGAGTGTGGCTCGGGGTTACCGCTATTGGTACTGAAAATTAACCCCGAGCCACACTCTGGAATACCGCCAGGGAGGTTAACAAGCCACAATACTTATCTGTGCAAAGGACATTCTCACATAAGACAAAACCAGAGTTTTTTGGCAAGTCACATTCGTTTTATATACAGACAAAAAAAATGAAGCTTTCAAAGAAAAGTACACTGTACCTACTGTGAAACATGGAGGAGACTTGCTTATGTTTTGGGGCTGCTTTGCTGGCATGGGGTGTCTTGAATCTAGGCAGTACAACAGCAAAATGTTTCCCAGCACACTCACCAGATAGTCTGCTAGTGGTTAGACAGGCTTTTTTTTTGCAGGCTGGTGAGTGTGCTGGGAAGCTTTTTGGTGTTGTACTGTATAAAGCCCTTCCATGTGCACCTTCCTTTAAAGCTGGTTATGAGTTGATGAGTGCGTTTTCCATTCGTTTTGCTTGAATCTAGGCAGGACACAATGCAATTACAAGGCTATCAAGGAACTCCAATTTGAAACATAGTCTGTTTTGTTTTTTAATTAAAAACATTTCTTTTTGATTTTTATAAAATATGGAACACACAATGATGTGTAAGTTTGCATATTATTTTAGAGAAAATTGTGGGTTTGTTTTTGGGTGCCAACAAATTTGTTCACAGCTGTAAGTACCTATCTTAAAGGAGAATTATGAGGTGGGTGAAATGCACTCATGCCCATAATTAGAGCCAACGTGTGACACTGAAGCTGTCACAGGTCAGCTCTATTGATTGGGAACAGAGCGATCACATACTACCGATTGCTCCGTTCCCGATCTTCTCCTTGCAGAGAGCGGTGACTGGAGAGACGGATGGGCAAGGGGGCAGGCAGAGCCAGCTGTCAACCAGGAAGCGGCTGCAGCGCGGATCTGCGCTGTCAGCATATAGTGGGCAATAGCCGACTTTATGTTGAGTTTTGGGTCACAGGAAAACATTAGTATATGTCCTCCTGTGACCCTAAAGAGAACTATGTCTAAAAAAAGGTTGGTCCAGAGTTCTCTTTTAACCGTATATAACAATTTTATAATGTACAGTTGCTACTGTTTTATAAACACTTGCAATGTTGTGCATTTTTATTACAGCAGAGACATACCTTTTTGAATCTCTCAAAATATGTTTGAAGCAGACTATATAAACAGTATTATATATGTGTTTTTGTTTATTGGTATGTTTTTATGCAGACTATATTTTGTGTCCTATATATGTTTTTGTTTATTGGCTATTAAAACTGTTTATTTGTTATATATACACACACACACATATATATATATATAAATACGTAGGTCTGGCTTGGTGACCGCAGAGCTCTCCCAAAACGTGTCCTCACGGCTCCATGTCCAGGCCACACCCCCCTGCTGTGCTAGTTTAACAGAAATGGCCAATAAATACATTTAGTGCATTGTGCTTTTAAAATGATCTCTAAAACGAATTACTGAGCTGATATATACAATTAAAATGACTTAAAAACAAACATCCTTATATTTATTAGTACTCTTAAAGGCACACTCCTGGTGAATTGCACGTGGTAAGTGTTACCCCAAAGTTGTATATATTATTGACCACCAGTGTTAATGGTCAGAAAAAGCTTTTGCTAATTTCTCCACATCCTTCCACCTGAGGGCTCTCTTTCCTCCAAACATCTGATTGAAACCCCTCACAAATTTCTCACAAAGTAGCATGTCCATTGAGACTGCTGTTATGTGCTCCTGGGAAAGATTTCAGATAATTCTTTGAGTTTGTAGATAAGAGTCCAATACGAATAACAACTATTTTGTTGTCTTCATATTGTCAGATTGATATTAACAATAAAACATTAGGAACTCATAACATGATGGCTTGGCACTCTGTCTTACTGACTGATCAATTTGGGAGGCAACCACATGGTGGGGCACCGCCTCCCCCCCCATTTTGTTTTAGAGTTGCAAAAGTAAATCCAAAAAGCCTAGTTAGCACTTCTTTTCTGACTGCTGAAAGATTAGAGTTCAGCGTCTCATACTTACTTCTTCATGCACTGACATTGTGTCCATACTGCTACATTGAGGCTACAACCTGGATGAGTATAATTACCTGACTAAACTCTTTTTCAATTCTACACAAGTTAATACCAATTGACAAGCTTTATGCTGATCAGCGAGAGCCATTTTATTAGTTTATATCTGCAATCATTTATTGTCTCGACCACGTGGACTGTTAAGAAACTGGTTGCTGACATCTCCGTGGCTTTGCATACTGTTTGGGATTTACCAATTAAGCTTGAGTTCATGGATTGAGCTACTTTGGCAATTAGATATGTGCATTCCATTGCCTGTGCGGAAAGTCTTATACATACCGCTGTCAAATTCCTTCTCAAGGGAGGAATCTGGTTCAATTCTAGCAAGGCTTCATTCCAATTGTCCTCCGGGTTTAAACTCATCTTATAGCTCTTCCAGTGCACTTAGTTCCTTCTATGACCAAGGACTACTAACATTTAAATCATCGATTTTGCAATTCTTATTTTCGCTACATACCCCATCCTCAGTCAAAGCAGCCTTAGATTTTCCAGAATGGATTAACCTGAGAATAACTTTTCTAAAAGGTATAAAAAAAAACTGTATAGATTTCACATCTTCTGTCGACTTTTGTCAAAGGAACTGCTCAAGTCAATGGGGGCCAGGCTGTTTAGCATGGATGGGGCTGAACGAGGAAAAACGGAGACTGTATGGCCAGCTAAAGGCTACATCCTCACAGGTGTTGAAAGGAAAGCTGGAGTGCTTGGAAAATAACTATAGTGTTTGTAAACGTTTAGATGTTTTGTAAAAGCAATGACAGAAGGGAAATCATTTAGAGATAGAATAAACACTTGTTGAATGCCTTACGACTTGAATTGTGGCATTATGTTAAATACATATAATGGGCAAGATTGGATCAACTCAAAGCAACGCGCTGCAAACACAGTCTGATTTTAGCGTGTGCTAGACCATTTATTTTTATGTTACAGAACAGGCACCAGCTTTGTACAGTGTTTGGAAAGCTTCAAAAAAGACAAAGCACGCTCCTGTACTTTATTACCTTGTAGGAACTAGGCCTAAGAGTGAATGTGAAATAAATATCGGGTCAAGAACAGAGAATGCCATCTTTGGGAAAGAATTGTGCTCTGATACAAAATAGATGCTTTAACTGTTGCTAAGCTTTGGCTAATAGGAAGCAATTTACAGAGAAGTAATACAAGTTAATGTTTGCTGGATTAGTGACCATTACACTTTGGTGGAGAATGGAGATGGAGCATTGTTTCAGCAATACCTGAGGGAGTGAGGAAATGAACATTCATGACATTCCTGCCTTTTACACATTACCCAGCACTGTGTTTTGCCAGCCAGCTAATGGGCCCTAGGGTATAAAATATCAATAGAAACAGTCATGGTTGCATACTTTTTTAAATATATGTGGAAACAACACAACACTGTCAAGAAATCTTTACAATCTATGGTTTGTGCTGTGTAATATTCAACAATATACTGTATATATTGTGTATAGGACTGTATGGAAATCAAAAAGGTACACTACTTCCCCATAGGCACTTGTATTTGTGCCTGCAGATCCCCTAAATCACTTATACCTCCACCATGTTTAATATAAGGCATTTATAGCCAATAGCTTCTCCATATATCCTCAATTGCACTGCCATTATCAAACACGCTATTCATGAAAGTTTGTCCCCTGTTTGAGCATTTATGGAGGGGGCAGACAGAATTTGGAGCAATTGCCCATGGCAACCAATCAGCTTCTCTCTTCACTTTGTTTAGTTAAACTTTGAAAGTGAAAGAGAGAGGCTGATTGATTACTATGGGCAACTGCTCCAGATTTTGTC